GTGCCCAGGTAGACTGGATTGTCTGGGGAGGCTGAACCAAGTACTGTTCTGTAGCCAAGAGGGCTAAGAGACTTGACATGCCAAGTAGGCATCTGGATATTGGGTCTGGAATTTGGGGGAAAGTGTGGGCTGGAAATGCACCTTTGTGAGCCAGTACAAGGCATTTAAAGCCCTGACCATGGGTGGGCTTACCGAGGGAAGTCAGAGTGGGTTCAGAGGGGTGTGTGGCCCAAGCGTGCAGCCCTGGGCTACTCAGAGATCAGAGAGGAGAAGAGGCTCTGGCAGCAGGGTGGGAGGGAACCCAAGAGTGTCTCAAGGAGTCCTACAGCCTGAGGAAGGACCCCCTCAGGGTCAAGCAGAGGAGAGCGGCCTTCTCTGCAGGGTGCTACAGCTGGTCAAGGAGGATGGAACTATAGCACACTCCCCGGGTCTGGCAATGAGATCACGGAGACCTAAACAAGAGAGGCCCGGGTGGAGGAGGTTTGGGGCTAGAAGGCCATGGGAAGGGGGCAGTCCGTACAGTGAGTCTAGACTACACTTGGGAAGGGGCTGCATGCTGGCCGTACAGAGTAGAAAGCTCCATAATTGGAAGGTGCTGGGAGTCAAGGTGAACTGGTGGGTTTGTTCAGAGGTGAGAGATTTGAACCATGAGCTTCCCACAGGGGCTGCAGGGAGTGGATGGGCTGAGTCATGCAGGACAGAAGAGCCCAGCTGGGAAGTGGGGGGCTTTGATAGGGAGAGCTGGGCCTTCCCCTTGAGTCCAGATCCAGGGGACCCTTCTCCTCCAGATTCTCGCTGCCCTGGACAGGGATGCGTCTTGTCGGAAGCACAAGTTGCGCCAGAAGTTGGAGCAGATCATCAGCCTCATGTCCAGCAACGGCTGAGGGTGGTGGAATTGGTGGGAGGGGGCTTCTCAGTCCTGAGCCAAGCTGTCCACAGCCCCCATCAAGGGGTGTGGCTGGCTCCAGCCTGAGTATCTGGGGCAGAGCCCCAGATCAGGTGTTGTGGGGAAGATCATTGAGCCAAGATGCCCCCAGCACACCTGGGCCCCCTTCATTAGTGCCTTGCTTTGGGCCCTGCACGGGGAGGGGATGATGGGACCATCCCCCCCAGCAGCAATACCCCCTCCCTCCTGCCCATGTGTTGGGATAGCCCCGCCCTCTGTGCTATTTATACCCCAACCACCTATTTATTAAATTTGATTCCACATCAATTTCCATCTGTAAGTATGTGTCCCCATGGAGTGTTGCCAACCTCCCTGACCTTCCTCTCCTTGAGTTGTTCTGGGCTCTGTCACCCATCCAGGCTCCTTTGTGACATTGCCAGCCTTGACCTAGCCTCTGCACCTCATCTTAGGTGTGGCTGCCCCACCTGACCCAAGAAGAGGGCCGAGGTACCAGCAGGACTTGGGGTGGGCCAGTGCACCTGAAGCTGCTTCAGACTGTCTGTGCCAAGCCAGGCCACAATGTCCCCCTGTAGAATCAGACTACATTCTCAAAGGACCCTGTCCCGCCTGAGCACCCCGAGAACGCTTGTGCCGGGGCCTGAGCTGGGCCTGAGCTGGGCCTGGGGACTCCACAACGCTCCTTCTTCCGGCCCTACTGCCAGACTTCCTCAGTGTTGCCCCAGAGCCCCTCAGCCTCAGCTGCCCCCTGCCCACAAGCCCCTGGTGCGCTCGCTCGCCCCGAGGGGCCGAGGTGGCAGTGCCTTACTGCTTGGTGTCTTCTGCCTCCTCTGAGGAATCTGGCCCCATCTCGGGTCCCAGAGCCCCAAATCTCTCCTGTGGTGTTGCATGAGTTTCTTTGTTCAAGTCGTGATCTTTCCTAATTAAATGTTGGGGAAATGGGGTCAGCGTGCGGGTTTGTCTTTGGGCGGGGCGGGTAGACCCGTTGGGGTCTGGGTGAGCTGGACTCCCGTGATGGGAGGAAAGGGCAACTCTTCACAGAGTTTCTGAGGATTTGAGGGGGTCCAAGGCCACAGCCCGTCCGCTGGCTAATTTCCGTGGTTCCAGCGTCAAGACATCTTCAGAGTCTGCTCTTTTTTCCTCGCCTCCACGGTCCCCACCCAGATGGAAGGTGCCCAGATGCCAGTCTCCCTGCTTCCATCCCTGCCCCACTTCGGCTCATCCTTAGTGTGGGAGGCAGAGGGATGCTGTTAAGATGTAAGGCAAGTTCCCACCGTGTTTAAAACCTTCCAGTGGATTCAGCCGCACCCAGACTCCTTGAGGCCTGGCAGCTCCTTACTGTTGGAGCTGTGACTCCCATCCAGGTGCACCTGCCTACATGTCTTAGCCCCCACACCTGTTAAGAGTGATGCAGGTGGGGAGAAGGGAGGATGCAGTGTTAAATGGGGTGGCCAGGAAAGCCTCATTGAGGATGACATTTTGGTGTGAGCCAGGTAGAATGCTGGGGAAGCCAGCTACAAACAGGCAAAGGCCCCCCAGGCAGGAGTGGGTCTGTCCGGTGTGCTTTGTGGAGGCGGAGAGGCCCAGGTGGCTGCACGCGAGCGAGCCAGAAGGGGAGTGGGAGTGGAGGAGGCCAGAGAAGACACAGGCCAGATCATGTGGACTTGCAGGCCACTGTAAGGGACCTGTGCTGTTTTCCCTCCTTTGATGCAGGTGCTAGGGGTCAAGCCCAGGGCCTCGTGCATGCTGGGCAAGTGTTCTACCACTGGGCTACACCTCCAGCCCGAGGATTTGCCTTTGACTCAGAGTGTGAGAGGGAAGCCCACTGGAGGGTTTGGAACAGAGGAGCATTGGGTCCTGACTTAGGAATACAAGCCACAGAGTGACGCAGGTAGTCCGTCCATAGTGCCAACCACATTGTGGTGGTGGTTGAAAGTGACCACGACACTCGGAGAGACCAAGAGATCTTTATTGCAGCAGTGCAAAAGAGAAAAAAGGAGAGAGAGAGAGAGAGAGAGAGGTGCAAGAGAAGAAAGAGAGCAAGAGCGGGGGGAGGCCCGGCAGGAGGGAGTTTTTATAGCCAGAATCTAACGGGGTCTTTGGGTCTGCAAGCTGCCTTGTTGGCGTACAGTGATTGGATCGTACAGTAGCGTCATCTTCTGCCTTCAGGCACATGGGGCAGGGGTCAGATGCGGGTTTCCACTGCACCAGACGGGTGGGGTTGAGTGTCCAGCCTTGAGTGGGGTTGAAGGTTCAGACTTGACGCAAACAGGTGATAAAGGACCAGACAGAGCGGGGTTTGAGTGCCCGGGCTATCCTGCAGCTAACGTTTGTTCAACCTGCCCTGCAGACAACTTAGCTCAGCCTGCCCTGCACCTAACAGTGGTAACTGTCAGCACAGGACAGTGTGTGGGAAATGGGTGAATTTTATAGCACATACATAAGTGGTACCTCAGTCAACCAGAGCTAGCCAAAGACGACTCGGCCACAGTAAGGCGCAAAGGGCTGGGGGTGTGGCTCAGTGGCAGGGTGCTGGCCTACCATGTGCACACACCTGGTTCCATCTCCAGGACCACAAAGAGAGAAAGAAAACACTACCTGGGATACAAAGACATGGGGAAATGCAACCCACGTTGGGGAGGGAAATCAATCACTGGAAGCCAGAGTGGAAAAGAAGAGGCACAACTGCCTCTATTCTCAGAAGACGAGATTATCTACCGGGAGAGTCGGATGGCGTGTGCAAAAGGGCTGTCAGAGTGACTCTAGCACCATACCTCACCAGGAGCTAACTCCACCCCCAAAACCTTGAGCCAATTGTCCCAGCCCTTTTCCTCACAAGGTGGGGAAGCCACAAAATTCCTACTCAAATGTTTCTGGGCGGCTGTTCTTCTCACGCAAACACAAAGGCAGAGTGTTTGTGCAGTGTGGAAGGTGGTGGTGGTGTTTTCTTTGGTGGTGGGTCAGTGGCACGTAGGATGTGAGCAGCCAGCATTCTGATGGGTGGGTTCATATTCTGGAGAGCAGTTTTGAACCGTAAATCAAGAGCCTTAAACTGTTAATTGAAAAGTAAATGGTTTACTCAGTAATTCTAATTCTTGGAAGTATCTGAAGGGAATAATCATCCATTCAATTATATACATAATCTCAGAGAAACCATTACTTATTAAAGGTGGGAAATGGAAGGCTGGGTGTGGTGGTGCATGCCTGTAATCCCAGCAACTCTGAAGGCTAAGGCAGGAGGACCACAAGTTCAAGGCCAGCCTCAGCTACTTAGGCCATAAGCAACTTACTGAGACCTTATCTGAAAAAATAAAAAATAGCCAGGCACAGTGGTGCATGCCTGTAATCCCAGCAGCTTGGGAGACTGAGACAGGAAGATCACAAGTTTAAAGCCAGCCTCAGTAACAGCGAGGCACTAAGCAACTCAGTGAGACCCTGTCTCCAAATAAAACACAAAATAGGGCTGGGGTTGGTGCTCAGTGGCTGACTGTCCCCGAGTTCAATGCCCAGTACTTGCCCTCCCCCAAAATAAAAAGGGTTATGGGATGTGGCTCTGTGGTAAAGTGCCTCTGAGTTCAATCCCCAGTACCAAAAGAAAAAAATAGGGGAAGAAGTGGGAAATGGTCTACATGTTAAACAATTACATTACAGTGCATCTCATGTTTTTGTTTGATAATGTATTTTTGGAAAAATTTTTAGAAATCAGAAAAGGTTATGTGAAAACAACTCAGGAAAGAATGTTACGTTTGTGAAAATTATGCACTGTATGTTACTGCTATATATTTCATATATGAATAGAACTCTAAACCTAAGAAGAGTTCCTCATCTCTGTATTGTATTTAATTTAGAGACAGGGTCTCACTGAGTTGCTTAGCGTCTCACTTTTGCTGAGGCTGGCTTTGAAGTCATGATCCTCCTGTCTCAGCCTCCTGAGCTGCTAGGATTACAGGCATGTGCCACGGGCCCCAGCTCATCTTCTGTTTCTGAAATTGTCTTCAATTAATTTGTAGTACTATCTGAATCCTAGAACCCACCCCCCCACAACACAAGGATAAAAGGCAAGAAAATGTGGAGGCACAGAGGCTGAGAAAACTGATGCAGATGACTAACTTAGTTTTATTTTCTGCATTAAGAAACATGTAAAAGACCAAACTAAAGAGGACTTTTGGCATTGGGGATATAGCTCAGTGGGTAGAGTGCTTGCCTAGCATGTACAAGGCCCTGGGTTCAATCCCCAGCACCATACAAAAAAAAGGACTCTTAAGTGTCCCAGGGCCAATCTCAATAAATTTTTATTTAGATCCCCATACTTAAGTAGCAAGTACTTTGGAAATCATTGCCCTAGGGAACCATGTACTGCCTAGAAATGGGTCATAATGTTAAACTGGATCCATTTTCCCAGGCTTAGCGGGGAATGGGGGGCCCAAAGAGCTGCATGGTCCTCAACACCAGGGAAAGCTGTTCAAGACAGTTGATGATGGAAATTCGGAGGAGGCGAGCATCTTCAGATGTCCATTTGCTAAAAAGTGAGGGAAAAAGAAAATTGAGTTGGAGGTAGTAAGTTCTTGTCTTTGTAGCTCTGCTCCTCAGGTATGTATTACACCAAACCTTTGTGTTATGGTTTGGATATGTGGTGTCCCCTAGAAGCTCATCTGTGAGCAATGCAAGAATGTTCTGAGGTTAAATGATTGGATATGAGAGTTATGCCAGATCAGTGGAGTACAGATTAACAGGATGGTGACTGTAGGCAGGTGGGGTGTGGCTGGAGGAGGTGGGTCACTGGTGATGTGCTTTGGGGTTTATATTTTGTCTCTGGTTAGCAGAACTTTCTCTTTCTCCCTCTGCTTCCTGCTGTCATGTCCTGAGTGCCTTTCTTCTGCTATGTCCCTCTGCCAGGGTATTCTGCCTCACCTCACGTGCAGAGCAATGGAGTTAGCAGAGTATGGACTGAACCTCTGAAACCATGAGTCAAAATAAACTTGTTAGGTCTTTTGTTTACAGTGATGAAAATCTGACTTTAACAGAAATAGTTACATGTCTCATAACACAGTCATTTCACCTCTGAACATTCTTGCATTATATCACACATGAGCTTTTGGGGGACACTTCACATCTAAAGCATAACACCTTTGGGGACTTGTTATTACAGAACCCCTTAGGCAGAGTGGCCCAGTGCACCCTTCCTTCTCCTTAGAAGTAAACCTTGTTGTCTGCATGTCTCCAATGTAGTATCCCCAGGTCGAGACTGACCCAGCCACTTGGCACCCACCCTTAACTGTCAGCCCCTTCTGTGACTTACATGGCCAGAACGTTGCCCCTCACCATAAGTTGCTTGTTAATCACCCCTCGGTGTGGTTCAGCATCTGGAGCCAGGGATCCGTGGGCGATTTGTGCTTCCAGAGGGCTGGGGAAAGGCACCCTGAGGGCACTGGTGGAGACTGCGTAAAGGCACCATCCAAACTCGGTTTCTCTGTATTCCTTCCACATCCCATCTCAGGCCACCCTAATCTAAACCCCTTCAGACCTCCCTCCACACTCCTCAGGTCATCCCTGGTCCTAACCCACCACAGCCTCACCCTGTTCATTCTCTGCTCTCATAGCACCCGCCCCTCATGCCCAGATGGCCCCGCCCTTCTGCTTGAATGTGCGCAATAGCGGGTTTCCTCTTCCAGGACAACCTGCTACCTCCTCTGCCCTTCTCTTTTCCCCAAGCTACCTGTATCCCTGCCACAGTCAGACCCGCTGTCTCCTGGGGTAGGATACAACATGTGTGGCCGGATTAGACGCCCTCTGTTTGATGAAGACCCGTCTGTGCCAGAACCTGGTGCAGCACTGTAACATGCACGGGCAGCAGCTACCACTATATCAGTAGTATTGCAGGTGCAGCAGCAGCGAGCACCCTGGCAGGTACGGCCCGCCGCGCTGCCTCCACGGCCCGCGCTGCCTCCACGGCCCGCGTCGCCTTCACGGCCCGCCGCGTCGCCTTCACGGCCCGCCGCGCTGCCTCCACGGCCCGCCGCGCTGCCTCCACGGCCCGCGCTGCCTCCACGGCCCGCGTCGCCTTCACGGCCCGCCGCGTCGCCTTCACGGCCCGCCGCGTCGCCTCCACGGCCCGCCGCGCTGCCTCCACGGCCCGCCGCGCTGCCTTCACGGCCCGCCGTGTTGCCTGTACTTGCGTTTGGGGCCTGCATGTCCACCACTGCTCCGCCTTCCACCCCACTGTCCGAGCGCTAGTCCAACAGCTCGTCCTCTCCGCTGAGTGCCGAGATTCTTTGGTTCCGGCCTGAAACCCCGCCCCCTAACGCTTGACCCCTCCCGCGCCTGCGCAGACCAGCTGCTGGTGAGTCGGCATGTCTCCTAGTCAGTTCCTGCCGTCACGGCTCAGCCTGGGACCTTCGTTGATCCCATCAGCCAGAGAGACTGAAGTCCCCTCCAAAAACTCTGCCCTTTTGTACACGACTCAATCCCAGGGGGCCTTTGCGAACATTCCCTAACAAGGCCATCAGGTGTGTGATCTGTTCCCTTCAAGCTAGCTGTGCTACCCTCGGGCCTGGAAGACTAAGGTTCCCTCACAAAACTCCATGCATCAGAGCAGGAGGTGACTTGGGCTTCCTAAAGTGGCTGCTCAAACAGGCAAACAAATGGCTCCAATGGGCGCGTTACTGCTTCCCACCCAGCTGACCCGGCCCAGCAATCCCGGAGACGTCTTTGGCTGCCCAGCCAATCAGCTCTCCCTCACGAAGCCCCGCCCCTTAGGGTATCCTTAAGAGCTCAATGCACTAATGCAAATTGGTCTTACCTCAGCTTACCTGGTGGTCTTGGGTGAGGACTCCCTGCCTGCGGCCAGATACCTGCCCTGGCTATTTTCCAGCTTCAGTGGTCCCCAAGAAATGACACCCCTGAAGAGATTTGCAGAGAGTGAGTAGTATGACCGGTCTTGTATCCTCCCATTGGCCCACACAAGAGGGCTTTTCAGTTGATGATGAACTAATCCAATTTGATTCTTAGAAGGAGCATTTTGGACTGGGCTGTGTGAAGGGGAAACCTACCAGTGCAGACATGGCAAGTCAACAGGGACTTCAACCAAAGTATCCTCAGTGGGAATAGGTCTAATATGTGGAAAAACAGTGCAAAAACTGTAATAACCAAAATACCAATTTAGTATATCATACAGTGTATGCATAGAAATCCTTGGAAAATACGCCTGTGTTGGGGCTGCAGTTGTGGCTTAGTGGTAGAGGCTTGCCTAGCATATGTGAGGCACTGGGTTTGATCCTCAGCACCACATTAAAAAAAATGAAAAAAAAAACCCCACAAAGGTATCATTGTCCATATACAACTAAAAAATATTTTTAAAAATACGATAGTGTGTAAGTACTCAGGATCTCTGGGTGATAGGATGGTAGATGATTTTAACTTACTTTTTTATGTTTTCCAGTTTTTTTTTTTTAGGGACCTAAGGTGACATTTACAATCAAAGAGTTTTTAGCTGGGCATGGTGGTGCATGCCTGTAATCCCAGCGGCTTGTGAGGCAGAGGCAGGAGGATTGAAAGTTCAAAGCAAGCCTCAGCAACTTAGTGAGGCCCTAAGCAACTTAGCAAGACTCTATCTCTAATAAAAAAAATGAAGGTGAGGGCTGGGATGTGACTCAGTGACTCAGTGATTAAGAACCCCTGGGTTTAATCCCCACTAACAATAGCAACAAAAAAGTTTTTAAAATGACATGAAATTTCTGAGGGTGGTTGTGTTGATCTTCTGTTTTTTTTTTTAATATTTATTTTTCAGTTGTAGTTGGACACAATACCTTTATTTTATTTATTTATTTATTTATTTATTTATTTATTTATTTATTTATATGTGGTGCTGAGGAGTGAACCCAGGACCTTGCACATGCAAGGCAAGCGCTCTACCGCTGAGCCACAACTCCAGCCCCAATCTTCCATTTTCCTTCTTTGTAATCAAAAGGAATGATTAAACATCGAGCTATATAAGCAAGTCCTCTTGGGTTTATCTCTAAACCACACTTATCTCCCTTTCCACTACTAGCCCCCCCAATGGGAACCATCTCTCCCTGAACACCTTCAACACTCTTTGATTGATTTTCTTTTTCATTCCTTCCTTCTTCTCCTGTTTCTTCTCCTTTTTTATGAGTAAAGGCACCATCCTCATCCTCCTCCTCTTATTATTCTTCTTGTCCTTCTCCTTTTCTGGGGGGGCAGTACAGGGGATTGAATTCAGGGGCACTCCACCACTGAGCCACATCCCCAGCCCTTTCTTGTATTTTAGTTAGAGACAGGGTCTTACTGAGTTGCTTAGTTCCCCACTGTTGTTGAGGCTGGCTTTGAACTCTCAATCCTCCTGCCTCAGCCTCTCAAGCCACTGGGATTACAGGTGTATACCACCAAGCCCGGCTCCTTTTCTTTCTTCTTTTTCTTATCAGTACTGAGGATTGAACCCAGGGCCTGAAACCACCAAGCTACATCCCTAACCATTTTTATTTTTATTTGAGATAGGGTTTCACTAAGTTGCCCAGGCTGGCCTCCAATTGTGATTCTCGTGCCTCAGCCTCCCAAGTACCTCAGATTACGGAAGTGTGCTACCACACCTGGCTTCAATTTGCTGTATAGAATTTCTAATGATCTGAAATTATATTTTTGTTTTATTGTTGATATTGTTTTGTGCCTTTTCTTTTATTCAGTTTTTTAATATATCCCCAGCACTCAGTACAGTGCAATGTATGCAGTAGGTGATTTGCATCTTGTTGGATGAATCACTACTAAGGTAGATAGATGTCCACCACTGTCTCTGAATCAGCAGTCATGCATGTAAGAGTTACTGCATGTAAGAGTTACTCCACAAAATGAAACATATACACAAAATTTCTGTAACACGATCGAAATAGAAAACTATTAGATACAATGCATAAGTCCCTCAATAAAGAGATAAACTAAATATAATAAGCTATAACTTATTCATATGTTAGTCCTATACAGCAATAAAAATGAATGAAAATTTTTGGGCTGGGGTTGTGGCTCAGTGGCGGAGCACTTGCCTCACACATGTGAGGCACTGGGTTTGATCCTCAGCACCAGAAAAAAATAAACAAAATAAAAATATTGTGTCTGTCTATAACTAAAAAAGTTCTTTTTAAAAAGAATGAGAATTTCTGATAAAAATGAAGTTATTTGAAAAAAAGGATAAACAATAATCAAAATGGTCATTTATAGGAAATTAAGATAGGTAAGGGGATTTCTTGGAATATTTCTTTTTAATGTATTTTTGACTTTTGAAGTATGTAAATATTTCACGTGTTCAAAAGTAAATTTGAAAGAGTGAAATAAAAAATAAAATGTTGTAGTTGAATCAGAGCAAAATTGAGCCTTTATGATGAAACCATAGAGAGAAGGTAGTGCAATACCTTTTAAGCTCAGCTCTCTTACTGTGGTCCCTTTGTGGGACAAAAAGAATTGGCTTTATTCTTAGCATATTTGCAGTTGATAATGGTAGGGATGAAGTGAGTGTGAAGCTATTTTGAACAAACTTTTAAGATAGACTGTATCTGGTAGAGAAAAATGAGTAAATATATTGATGTTGTCAGAAATCAGAATTCTCACTGTGGAATGAGGTAAGGTGTGAAAGAATTGTGATGCTGGATTGTAATTGGAGGTTTCAGTATGAAAGTGTGATTTCTTAAAAATATATGTATTTCCAAGCTCTGTGGAAAGAGTCCAGGAATCAATGACACCCCAGTAGCAATGAGAATATTCTGCACAAACATCTTAGTTTCTAAATACCACTCCCCACTAAAAGGAACTAGGGCTCTTTGAAAAAGAAATGGCTGATTCTTGGGTTTGAACAGGAATAACCAGAATAACTACATGATGAGCCTGGAGTTTGTTTGTTTGTTTTGGTATTAGGGATTTAACCCAGGGGTGCTTTACACTAAGCTACATCCTCAGCCATTTTAAAAAATTGATTTTATTTTTTAAATTTTGGAAGAGGGTTTCATTAAGTTGCTTAGGGCCTCGCTAAGTTGCTGAGGCTAGCCTCAACCTTGTAATCTTCCTGCCTCGGCCCCCCTGAATTCCTGGGATTACAGGCATGTGGGACCATGCCCAGCTACCTGGAGCATCTTGTAGGGCCAGAAAGTAGGATATCATGGGGCTGGAAATGTGACTCAGCAGAACACTCGCCTAGCATGTGCGAGGCCCTGGGTTCGATCTTCAGCACCAAATAAAAATAAATAAAATAAAGATGTTGTGTCCAAGTATAACTAAAAAATAAAAATAAAAAAAAGTTGTTGCCTGGGCACCCTGACTCAATAAGCCTCACTTCAAATGCTGCTCCCCTTGATTCTGACCCTCTTGTGGTCCCTTAAGAAATGGCCTCCCAGGGCTGGGGATGTGGCTCAAGCGGTAGCGCGCTCGCCTGGCATGCGTGCGGCCCGGGTTCCATCCTCAGCACCACATACCAACAAAGATGTTGTGTCCGCCAAAAATTAAAAAATAAATATTAAAAATTCTCTAAAAAAAAAAAAAAAAAAAAAGAAAAGAAAAGAAATGGCCTCCCAAACATCTTATTCCAGCTGAAACACTACTTCTGTCTTGGAGAGGCCACTTTATCTGGGCCCTTCACTCATGCTGCCATTTCCTTGTGTTATCCTGATCACACATTCCTGGGGCTCAGGGACTGTCCTAAGCTTCCTATATAAGGGGCCAGTGTTGGGTCTCCTGGTATTGGGCAGGGGGCAGTGACACCATTTTGGGATGGACACTTGTCTCAGAGGGCACAGTGCCTGGAATGTGGGGTCCCAGTTACTATGGCCACCTCCTTATCTTCTCTCACTGCCAGGTCCACCATATAGTGGCTTCATCCAGCATTGCCAACAACCTCATTACTAACTCTGGAGGAGTCTCCATTCTATCCTTGCTTCACATCTTGGCAGCACTAGATGGCCTCCCCTTCCTGGAAGCCCACTCCAGCTGTCTCTGTCTTCCTGTGTTGGAGGTATACTCCTCTGCCTCCTCTCTAGTTGAAATTTCTCAGCTGGGTGCAAAGGCACAGGCCTGTAATTCCAGGGACTAGGGAGGCCGAGACCAGAGGGATTGCAAGTTAGAGGCCTTCAGCAACTTAGTGATACTCTGCATCAAAATAAAAAGGGATAGGGAGTAGCTCAGTGGTAATGTGCCC